GCCGGTCACGAAAAAAGACAAAAAAAAAAAAAAAAGAAAGAATTTTTACTAGGCATCACTGCTTTTTTCTTTTTCTCTAACATGCATCCTTCACTGTCATCATTGCCATTAAAAGAACAAACATACAAACAAAAACAAATACAAGTATAGCAATATGTAGACTGCCCCTGTGTGAAAAGGTATATTTGCAATTCTTTCTAGCAATTTATTTGGCATATGGTATTAGAGAAACAACTAGAAGATTCTCTTTGCAGTTCCAATCTCTGCAGAAATCTGGGACGTGAATTTGAATTAAGTGGTTCAGACCTATGCAGAAGCCACTTTAACTGAATAGGAAATAATGGCATTTAAGAACCACTGCATCAAGATGGGACATGATGAAAACGAACACCGTGGGGCTTATTGATTCTTCTGGTACGAATTTGGCTGTAATTTGTTTGTTTGTTTGTTTTTATTTTTGTTTTGTGGCAGCTGGCTGATACAGGGATTTAACTCTGGACCTTGGTGTTATCAGCACCACACTCTAACCAATTTAGCCCTGGAGGTAATCTTAGACTCCAGAGTTAAGACAAAACTGCAGGTAATTGCCAATACATTTCCTACTTTTATAATGTTAATTTAATCTGTTGCCTAGATCCTTAAATTCTGTACTACAATGTAGTTCTTGCTTCTGTTAAAGTACTGAGTAGCCTTTTTTTTTTTTTTTTTTTAAGTTCAGCCTTAAATCATTAGAAGGAATCAATGCTGTGCTTACACTTACAGGGTTTCCTTTCAAGTGAGCATTTAACAGAATACATCCCAAGGCAAGCTCATCTATCTGTTTTATGCATGGTATTCAGAGTGAAAATCACTCTGCCGGGGTATGCTGAGTAATTCGAAGATAGGCAGAGGGATAGAAAATAATTACGAGCGGCCATTCTAGAGCTATGCTCACTGTATGCTAGTGATGTGGCCTTAGCACATTTGGCTGATTTTTTTAGGAGCTCTGAGACCACAGGTCTCAGGAAGACGTTTTATTAATTTGTTTCTTTTTGTGTGTGTATGTATATACAATTCACCCAGTTTTTCTTTAGTCTCACACTATCCTAAAAACATAGAAAGCCTTGTAAATAAATAGTATTAGCTTCCTTTCCCTATTCCATGGACTTGTTTTAGTATGGACTTGCTGTAGAGAGAGTTCATGCCTAGGGTATTAAAGGAACGTTCTCAAGTTCTCTTTATTTTGATTTGCATCCAAAAGTCCCCTTAATTTCAGGTTTCACTTCCACAAGTTAATCATTATGGATTTAACCCTAAGGTAACTTTTGAAAAAATGCTGTAATTCACTGTCTTCGCTGGATTTACTTTTCTAAGCAGGCCCATTTCCCTGGTTCAGAATCTCAGCGCCCATGCATCGGGTACCTCTGGAAAGTGTTCTGGTACCGCCCACCTGGGTACGAATCACAAGCCTCTGAGGAGTGTTGGACAGGTCGGCGCTGCTGTCACCGCTAGACCCTGGCGATTGGTTCGGGCGGAAAGGCGCGGAACCAATGGGAGCGGCGGCTCGGAGGAGCCCGTGGAGCGCGCGGGAAAGCGACCAATATAAACTGTGGCGGGAGATGCGTTTTCGGGTCCTTGTCCAGAGAAACACCCTCAGCTGGGAAGTCAGTTCTTTACTCTCGTCTCTTGTTTAAACATGGTGCGGACTAAAGCAGACAGTGTCCCAGGCACCTATAGAAAAGGTGAGGCGATCAAACAGGGTAGTGAGTGGGAAGGAAGGGGGGTGTCTTCCTGGCAGCCTGGCCAGGGGCGAGAGATGCCCGGGCTCTCCAGGCTCTGTGCGCCAAACTCGTCCAGCTGGCTAGGAAGCAGCTGTCCGGCCCCCCTACCTTGAGGAGGAAGTGGCGGTGACAGGGGAAGGTTATCTTGCTGCTCTTAGACTCCGGGCTCTCCTCTCTAAGCCGCTGGGTCCAGGATTGTGGTGAGAACGTGGCCCCAAGACGCGGTGTCCGAATCTTCCTGCCCCCTTCTGAACGCTCTCCTTTGCCTCTCTTCATAGTGGTGGCTTCTCGAGCTCCTAGGAAGGTGCTTGGCTCCTCCACCTCTGCCACCAATTCTACGACGCTTTCGTCGAGGAAAGGTAAGAAGCGCCCCCCCCGCCCCCCCAGCTCCCGCAAGCTTCTGGAGTAAGAGGAACCCTTCTAAAAAGGGGATCCGGCCTGACATCTCAGTCCTGACCTGCAAGCCTCCTGACCCGCCACGGAATTTATTTTCCTTGCGATCCTCGCACCTGAAATTCTTCCTTTCCCTCTGATATAATGAGGTGGCTTTGGCCTTTAGGCGGGCAGGGGTAGAGGTGGGGGTAGAGGTAGGAGAAGAGAATCTCAAGCCTTGGGATTAGGAACCGAGGTAGTTTATCTCCAAACCTACTTTTCTTTTTCGGTTTAGCATCCTTATTTTTCTAAACATTGACAGTAGGCTTTTTCTTGTTAGAGGTTGGGTTTTTTTTTTTTTTGTTTTGTCTTTTTCGTGACTGGTAAGGGGATCACAACCCTTGGCTTGGTGTCGCCCACACCGCGCTCAGCCAGTGAGCGCACCGGCCATTCCTATATAGGATCCGAACCCGCGGCGGGAGCGTCGCTGCGCGCCCAGCGCCTGGAGAGTGCTCGGCCCTTGTTAGAGGTTTTTTAAGCACCTCCTAACTAGGTTAACAATTAGGATGATGTTTGACAGTGCTAATCATGTTGTCTTAGTGTAAAATTTTTTTGTTTTTGGTTCTTTATGTTTTTTCCTTCTTTTCTCTCCTTTTTTCTTTTCTTTGTGTGTGGTGTATGTGTTTTCCAACTTTGCAGCTTCTGATACTGCCTTCGGCAAAGTAGGAGTAGAACCCAACAAGGGAAATAGCTTTATGCTGCTCCTTCTGTGTGTGAAGAGGATGAGAAAATGCCCTGCCATCTGGTACTTCATTCCTTTCAGAAGGAAGTTGAGCAGGCAGGAAGATTAGTTCCACAATGTTTAGTTAAGAACATAAAGGGGAGCACTGTTTAGGACTTCATGAATTTTTTAAGTAAACTCAAATTTTTCCCTATTCTAAACATTTCATTAGAAAATAGCATTGGGGCTGGCTGGTTAGTTCAGTTGATTAGAGGGCAATCTTATAACACCAAGGTCACGGGTTTGGATCTCCATACCGGCCAGCTACAAAAAACAAAACAAAACAAAAATCAAGATAAAAAAAGAAAATATTTACTATTTCCGTCTCTTCATAAAAGGGAATAGTAGTCTAAAATTTTGAAAGGAGATGAATTTATTGAGGATATCTTATACCCTGTCCCACTAGACTAAATTTCATTAGGATTGTCTGGTCCATTGCTGAATCACCACAACCAAGTGAATAGGCCCTTAATGAATGTGTTGAACAAATGAATTCTTTAAGGCATTTTTACAGATCTTTATTTTTTTTATTTATTTTTTATTTTTTATAAGAAAATATTTACTATTTCCGTCTCTTCATAAAAGGGAATAGTAGTCTAAAATTTTGAAAGGAGATGAATTTATTGAGGATATCTTATACCCTGTCCCACTAGACTAAATTTCATTAGGATTGTCTGGTCCATTGCTGAATCACCACAACCAAGTGAATAGGCCCTTAATGAATGTGTTGAACAAATGTATTCTTTAAGGCATTTTTACAGATCTTTATTTTTAATCCCAATCATTGACTCATGAAATTGGTAATATCCTCATTTAAAAGATGAGGAAATTTAAGCTCAGATTATATAACTTAATAAAGGTCTTACAACTAAATCATTAGAGCTGAGTTTGAATCTGTTGCTGCTATATATTTTCTAGTAGTGAAATCATTCCCATCTTTTATGTTTTAAAATAGGAAGAAAAAAAAAGCATTCTCGTATGGTTCTTTTAGAAAAATTATGAACCAAAAGATTACTTTTTTTTTTTTTAAGGTAAATCAAGTAAACATGGGAGTGGAGAAGGAACAAAGAAATGTGTAACTGCTTGTGATCAATTAATTGTAAACACCACTGCACTCGGACCCCCTCTATCCCCTTTTTTTTTTTTTTTTTTTGCACTGGCCAGTATGGGGATCTGAACTCTTGACCTTTGCATTATAACACCACATTCTAACCAACTGAGCTAATCAGACCAGCCCAGGATCACTATTTTTTGAAGATCATTTGCACTTTTAAAAAAGTACAAACAATATAACCTCAAACAGTCTATATGGAAATAACTTTTGTAAGCTTTCTTTAACAGAATTTCTGACCTCTATCGTTTAAAGCAAAAGATATATATATATATATATATATGTAGTAACTGTTAATTTGCTCTGGTTGGTCTTCTAATCATTACTTTATAAAAGGATAAGAATTTTTCCTCAATTTTTCCTTTATATTACCACTTAAAAATAACCAGGAATTAGATTTCCCTTATTAACTGAAAAGGAGCCAAGTGCTTTGAAAAGTAGAACCTACTTTTGTGGAAACTTTCACATTGCCTCTTATATGTACTTTTTTTTTTTTTTTTTTTTTTTTTAAAGATGACCAGTAAGGGGATCTTAACCCTTGACTTGGTGCTGTCAGCACCACACTCAGCTAGTGAGCAAACCGGCCATCCCTATATGGGATCCAAACCCGGGGCCTTGGTGTTATCAGCACCACACTCTCCCGAGTGAGCCACAGGCTGGCCCTCTTATATGTACTTTTATTAAATGATCTTATTAAGTAAAATTTTGGCAGTATATACTACATGGTGCTACCTTATATTAGGAAAAAAGTTTCTCAAACTTTAGTACAACAGTACATAATAAGACTATTTGAATAGCTCTACTTGTGGACAAAATATGAAAAATATTTTCCAGTTGTAAAAATTCTGCTACTGCTTTTTCTAGGACAACTATCAAACTGAGTTTATTGACTGAATACAGCTTTATTGTGTCATATTTTCTAATTCTTTATTTTAAGATGGATGTAATTGAATACCTTTGAGAATTTGATATTAAGGAAAGAATTAAGTTCTTTAACAATAGTGATTGTATTCTTAGTTCTTACCTAGTTCCATCTGTTTATATGTTACAGCTGAAAATAAGTATGCAGGAGGGAATCCAGTTTGTGTTCGCCCAACTCCCAAGTGGCAAAAAGGAATTGGCGAATTCTTCAGGCTGTCCCCTAAAGATTCTGAAAAAGAGAATCAGATTCCTGAAGAGGCAGGAAGCAGTGGCTTAGGAAAAGCAAAGAGAAAGTAAGCTTTTATATTCTGGAATATAAAGAAAATATTTATCTTCTGAAAATAAAGAACAAATGTATATTGAATAACTTTAAAGTCTCTCTCCAAGCCGATAAAGAAATACAAACAAAAGGTTTTTGAAACTTGTACTGATTTCTTATAATAAGTCATTCCCAAATTTCAAATATCAATAAAAGGTATTATCTTTACTCATTTCAATTACTTAAAGAGGATCAATTCCCATTCAGATGATTAGTGTTATGTTATTAATCAGGAACTTCCTGTCTTTATTCTTTAATTTTTGCTTTCTGAAGTCTTTTTTCAAAAGGCAATTTCCTACTGGCCAGCTGCCAAAAAAAAGAGGCAATTTCCATGTTGGTTTATCTACCTTGAATTTCATTAATCCTGCCCCTCAAAAAACTATTTCAACTTCCACAAGACATATATGGGTATAACCAATGTAGAAAGCTGGAAAATATAAAAATCCCCATCACCTAGAAACAACCAGACTAACACCATGGTACGTTTTTGTTGTTGTTGTTGTTGTTTAACAACTTTTTTATAAGTTCCTAAGAATACTTCAAAACAAAGTGGGGATAAAACTATACACAGAGAGCTCAATGTGCATACTTTTTAAGAAGCTCATTAAATCGTGCTTTTTGAGATTTTAAGGACAGGTAAATGTTCACGATAAATGTTAAGCAAAAATTCTGGATACAAAAGTAAAATCTTTACTGTGTAAAATACATGTATATGTACTGTATGGAAATAGACCAAATAACAATAATTATTATCTCTGAGTAAAAATCGCTTCTCATACTCTGTGCAACCAACTTTCAGCACCAAACATGCATCACTTTTAAGAATCAGGAAAAAAATAGTGCCACTTGGAAAAAAAGATTTGAAACCTGCTTTTTTATGGATTTGTAAGTAACGAGGTCCAGGCTCTCCAAACAACTATTAAACGTTTTGTTTTAAAAACAAAGTATTTGACTGGGTGTGGGAGGGGAGGAGTTGGCACCACGTCACTGCCATTGTGATGCCCCTTGAATATAAGGCCCGACTTGCTACCTCCCGTACCTGCTAGAAGCGCCCGGTCCTTTAGAGCACAGAGCAGCAAGCTGGGCACACAGTGCACTGACCAACATCTATAAGGGGATGGTGGCAACGCTCAGTCTGGGGCTGCTGCTTCTGGCGCTGCTCCTACCCACGCAGATTGATTCGTTCACTCCTTTAACCAGCACGCTGGGTCCTACCTATTATGAGACCACCAAGAAAACCGTGAACACCACAAAGCCCGGTAACAGCGCCCTACATTCTACTGCCAGTCTCCTTGTGGTCTTGCTTGCCCTTCTACATCTCTTCCGTTAAGAGACTCAGGCCAAGAAACACCTACAGTTTTCCGGCTCAGATTCTAAAACCCAATCAAGATGGCGCCTAGACGTCCAGGGTGGCAAGGAAAAAACGAGGTCTTCAAATCTACTAACTCGGCTCCTTATTGTACTAACAGAAAATCTTGAGACTCCCAAACTGGACTGGTTTAAAGACCATCTGCAGGATTCGCCTAGATGATAAATGCCAATATTAAATCTGTTTAAGTGAGTTTAATGGGCAAGACTGAGGAGAAAGACAACATTGAAAACTAGTTGATTTCATTGAATGTGGCTTAAGAAATACGGGCACTTAAAACTCTGCCTTAAAAATAATAATTTCACCTTGTCTAGAAAAAAGTATGAGCTGTGGAATGGAGATTCAGTTTTCATTTTGATTCATTAAATGTAGAAGGCCGTAAAATGATTTGGTAATATGAGTACAAAAAGCTTCCACGATTCTATTTAGTGTACATTGGAAGGAACCACCAAGTGTTAATGTAAATCCTCTATATTGTTTCAGCAGTCCTAATTTAACACCTAATTTAATATTCTAGTTTTACATTGTTAAGCTTTCACTGTTCTCTCAGGAACTTAACTCTTTCCTCCGGGGCTTCGGATCTGACATTGTATTTGCCTTCGTAGTAATTGACAGGTGCTAGGGCAAATCCAAGCATGAGTAATTTTTGCATATACACTTAAAAGTGAAATGATAGGCATTTCCCATCACACATTCCTATTCAACAAGAGTGCCAGATTCATTAAGCTATCATACTTAAGTTGATTCCAAAGATTAGACATATATTGACTCCAACTAGTCTTCAAATACTGCTTTTTATTTCTGCATAGGTTGAATAATTTTTACAACTTAAACACTGATATGTTTTGAATGCACATTTAATAAATCTTGAAATTAAGAGGCAAACATGTAGACAAAAATAACATAAATCAGGTATTTAGAAGTTAAGACTAGAAACTTGCCTGCATTGCATTCACAACTCTTCTGTGCTCTTTCTGTAAATACTTTTTAAAAAAAGTTATGAACCAGAATAGCTACATTTGGAACACTTTCTACATTATTCAGTATTTTTAGATGGTTACAACCTGGTCCTAAATCTAAGTGGATGTGATTCTGGAAAGTACAACTTTTATTTATGACTGCCTTGATGTACAGAAACCTTTTTAGTAATAGATTTGTTCACTTGGTATACACTGATGCTTAGATGTTCCAGCATCCAGTATGGCCATAGTAGTTTTAATTTGTCTTAAGCCAATATTTGACATCTTTAGAAACCTACATGGGAATAACAAGATCCAACAGATCTCAAGTTATGGTATGTGTGAATGAACACTCCCTTTTGCTTCCTATTTAAACACTGTACTTTTTTGTTTGTTTGTTTTGTTTTTTGGCAGCTGGCTGGTATGGGGATCCAAACCCTTGACCCTGGTATTATAACACCGTGCTCTAGGGCCGGCCGGTGGCGCACTGCTACAGTGTGCCGCTTGTGAGTGCGGCGGCGCTCCCGCCGAGGGTTCGGATCCCACATGCAGACCGGTTCCCACTCACTGGCTGAGCGAGGGGCGGGCACGGCACCTAGGGTTGCGATCCGTTGCTGGTCCCGGTCAGGTGCGGGCGTGGCACTGAGGGTTGCCGTCCGTTGCCGGACACGAAAAAAGACAAAAAGGAAAAAAACAAAACAAAAAAAACACTGTGCTCTAACCAACTGAGCTAACTGGCCAGCCCTGCATATCTGTTTTGGATTGTACATTGTGTTTGGAATTGGTTTGCGTTGAACACAAAGTAAATAAAATAAGTGGCTGAAAGAGTAATTAAAACAAAGTACTTGATATATAAAAGCATATAAAATTTGAAAAATTATTTAATACTGTGGTACATATGTCATTAATACATATGGTCATTTAGTAAATGGTTACTGAGTATCTAGTGTCCACATTTTGAAATATTTCACAGTAACTAAATCTTAGGCTTTGTTATTATATCACTATTATGATTTTTTTAGGAAAAACCCACACCAGAGATGTTTTTGAACAGAGCTGTTTAATAGGCTTCCTTTCCTGATCCTATAAGTTTCTTCTAATTCTCTTTCCTTGTTGGTACCATTCCTCCTTGTTCTTTCTCATTCTAATATGAAGAAGATAATGGTCAAGATTAGCACCAGAATATATTTTGATTCTCTTGAATTATTTGTGATTACATTAAGGAAATAAATATTGGCAATATGAGTATAGCCAAATGTGGCTATAACATTGATCATCACAGGAATAAAACCTGTATTACAGGCTTTCCATCATATGGAGAGAGATTACATATATTCTCATAAAGAACTTTAATCCATGTGACATAAAACTAGGTAATAGAGGTTTACATTATTTCTTTAGGCCCCTTTCTTAGATTTGCCTTTCTTTAGCAGAGTTGTAATTATCCCCTTATTGAAATAGTAAATGAATTTATTGGAAGGATTTATGCTATAAACTTCCTAATTCATATTTGGTAACTCTTATGGCCTTATATTTCTCCCTAAAATAGGATAAACTCCCATCAGTTGCATGGGGGAAAGTCAGAATCAAGAAAGACTATCTACTTAAACCTTGAACAGAACTATAATGTCTAAAGTAAATCAAGCCCTTGTAAAAAGGAAGTTTGAGTCATGATAGTGATTTAATTTCCAGGGAAATACAGTGAAGACCTCTCTGCAATCTACTAGTATGTGAGTCAATGGCAATCTTATACTAAGTCTGAGTACTGTTGATTTAGCTTCCTTCTTTCACTACCTAGCTCTATGACCATTCAGGCCTACTGGATCTAATTTGAAAACTAAGGATTTTAGAGTAGATCTCATAAACTGTCCTCTCTAAAAAAAGAATCTGATTTATAATTTTTTTAATTGACTTTTTCTCTATAAAAAGGGTAATGGGTACAAAATGGCTTTAGGATAAAGTAAATTATTTTACAAAAGCTAGGCCACCATATACTAACAAACAATTTGGGGGTTCTTCTAATTAGGTAATACAGTCATATTGTTCAAAAACATATAGAGTCAAATATGACAACTTGTTATATGTTTTCTCTGCTTAGGTAGACTGGTTAATTTTTTTGCTTTTTATTATGACAAAGTTTTTGCTGAAGGATTATACTTTATCAATCCACTTAACAACATATAGAAAGATGCTATAGAAATAGAGTTTCCCTTTTTAATGAAAATAGCAATATATCCTAAAGGAGAAACACTGATTCTGCAAATTAACAGGCAAAATAAATTGTCAAAAATTTTGTTGCACTAGTAGTTGAAATTTGTAGGTGTATGTCAATTAATGGAGATTAATTTTCCCTCATTTCTAGTTACATGACTAGACCCATTGCACTGTTTATTAATGTTCTTGATTTATATAGGTTTTTAACTTTTTTTTCTTAAATAGTTGATTCTTGGGTGACTATTGAAGTTCTCTGTTCTTTCCACAGAGCATGTCCTTTGCAACCTGATCCCACAGATGATGAAAAAGAATAGAACTTTCTTATTCATCTTTGAATAATGTCTCCTGTTTACTCTGGTATTCTAGGATGTAAATTTGCATAAATGTTCGTTCCAATTAGCTTTGTTGAATAGGCATTCGCACTTAATTTAAAAAATTAGGCTTAAATTTGGTTGTTCAAAAGTAAATAGTTATGAAATTGGAGAATTTGTAAGATTAATTGTGATTTTTTAGCTTAGTATTCAATATAATGCAGTATTTCATGTCTTTTACCTGTTACTGAGCTTCTCGTTCTTGCTAAAATCAGATCATTGTGTGATGTTCTAATTATAAGTCTGCTGTATTTGAGATTCACTTAGATCTTTGTACTGCTGCCATTTTTATTGGCATTTGATTATTGGAATGGTGTCATATTTTTGTTGCTTTTATTTGTTTTAAGAAGCAGAGTTAGATTTTTGCACATTAAAAAAATTCAGTATTAATTAAACTTAACCTCTACCCCAAAAAGGGAACCAAAGATGCAAGGTTTAAAAAATTTGGATGGATATCTTCTCTTTCGGAAAATTTAAGGACAATTTGGTCTTGAGGCTTTCAACAGTTGATAATCAAAGTAACTACAAAAACAAGATAAAATACCAGCATAGAATCAGGTAGGAAGATCCCATAGGTTACATTAAAAGAGAGGAATTTTCCTAGGGTATGCATTTGATTCAATATCATAATATATTACCCTTTGGGCCTATACTTTTAAAGTTGGAAAACAATAAAACAAGAACCGTAAATCATGCCATAAACCCAGAGCTATGTCTAAAGTCCTTAGAGTTACCATTACATTTTTGAAGATAACCAGCAGTATAATTGAAGATGTGGGTATAATATTACTAGTTAACTGATATTCTTGCTTCCTCATCACTTTTTGCTTGCTGATAGCCTGTTGTCAAAATTAACCATGTTTTAACAGGCATGTTTCTCTGAAATTTGTTTTTAATAAATGAATACTTATCTTCACAATACATTATCTGTTTGTATGCTTCCTAAGATTATGTCCTACCAGGTATTTCTCTTTTATTCCTTCCAAATACAAATCAGTGCACTGGCCTGATTTTATCGAATTCCAATCTGTTTGAGTCCTAATGATTGTAGATTATATTTTTTGCTTTGTCTTTTAGAGGTGGCTATTAAACAGAATGTTACTGAATTGGGAGCAGAATTTTTTTCATCCCAAGTAGTTCTTTGATAATTCGATTTTTTTAAGGAGTAGCTTAAGCAAAGGCTATTAAGGTTAAGTTTTTTTTTTTTTGACCGGTAAGGGGATCGCATCCCTCGGCACGGTGTGGTCCGCACCACGCTCAGCCAGTGAGCGCACTGGCCACCCCCATATAGGATCCGAACCCGCGGCGGGAGTGTTGCTGCGCTCCCAGCGCTGCACTCTCCCGAGTGCACCACAGGGTCAGCCCTCCTAGGGACATTTAAATATTAGTTATTAAGTAACAGTATTGGGTTTCCCAAAAATAAACATTAGATATGCTAATTCTTAAATTATTATAAGGGGCAATAAAAAAATGAAAAAAGCTTTCATGAGATCAGGAGAAAAGGCTGGACATGCCATATTGATCTCTAGGATGAAGGTACAGTAGTGACTTAGGAAGGCTCTTTGAGATCTAGCCACGATCTCAGAGTGCTCTTAAAGTTTATATTAAGAATATGGGTTCCTTTAGTACTGCTCACAAAATCCTAAAAGTGTAGTTAAACTCACATACCTAGTTTTAGGTGGGGGTTGTACTATCCATCTTTAGAGGTCTCCAAATAATGAGTATGTTGAAAATGATAGAATTATAGAGCCCATATGACCATTTATGGGTCAAGCCAGCTATTCATACACCTATACAAAAGTGACTGAATTTTTTTTTTAAAGCTGTAGGAAGAGAGGATGGAAATGAATGCTGCTTATAAGTATTTTTCTTCAGCAGTGGGTAAAATGAATGATGCATAGGAATCTGCATTTCTATAGTGGCTTAAACTATCACGTTTAATAATAACTTAATTTTACTCAAGAAAACATTTCTTTCTATAGAATACATTTATTTACCATAATCGTGCTTTAATTTTTTAAGAGATATCCAAGTCTATCATAGTTTTAGATAAGTTGTTGCTCGTTGCCTCATAATTTATTTACTTTTCTAATTTAAAGTTTTTTTAATATTTAAAGCTGTTGGCAATTGAAATACCAAACTATTTTGTCATGGTAACAGATTTATCACTTGTCACCTTCAGTCAGGTTTTTAACAGAACAATTAATTACTGGATGTGCTCATATTCCAATTGAGTTGTGTGTGTGTGTATACTCCCACATGTATGCATGCTGATGGCAGGGATGGAAATGTCTTAGACTTATTAAGTAACCTTCTACTGACATATTTTGGGCTGAAGTGATTTCGTAAAGGTTTTGCTCAAGTGACTGCCTAGGGTGAATCAATTTAATGCTGTCTCATGCATACAGGAAACCAACAGACCTGGTGTTTCTTTTAAGTGACCAAAGCTCATTTCCTCTCTTCCCCAGCTGAGGTGGACAACAGTTCAATATCGGTGATTAAGAGGTTATCGTGACCTATAAAACTGGAGGCTGCAGCTGCAAGTATATTCACAGCCATGGAAAAGAAAACCAATTCAGCAGTTACTCTTAAGCTTTAGTGCTTTTAATCAGACCTACTCAAGATGGGAAAGCCAACCAGATTTTTAGTCGTTATTCTCTGAAAGCCCAACTGGATTTTTCTGAATATTTAACCACCATAATGATCAGGGGTCATTTTTTTAAAAGAGAGGATTATTTCGTTGTCTTTTACCCCAAGCAATAGTTTTCCCAATATATTCAAACCCCCAAGTCACCCCTACCCAAGAGTAGATGAGGTTTCACTGACTTTTCTTGTCCACAGTGTAGGTATCAGAGTTTATTCTGAGTGGAGGATTAGACGCCTTCTAACTTTCCAAGCTTAATTATAGGCTTCCTTTGGCCTTTTACTGTGCTTTCTGTTTTAAGGATTAAAATCACTCTAGTCTAGGTCCGAGAGTGTGGTGCTGATAACACCAAGGCCACGGGTTCGGATCCCTATATAGGGACGGCCGGTTAGCCCACTTGGGAGAGTGTGGTGCTGACAACACCAAGTCAAGGGTTAAGATCCCTTTACCGGTCATCTTTAAAAAAAAAAAATCACTCTAGTCTCCTTATACTGAATCTTTTTCTGCCTCTTCTATTTAGCTAGATTATTTCCTTATACGAACGTATACAATCCTTACAAAAGATAGGTGAAAACAAAACTTTTCTCACCATTCGGCTTGAGAAGCTGTCACAGGAGAACGAAGTGCATGAGAAAGCCTTCACAACAATGAAGGAGATTTAAAAAATCTGGCTGAAACACATTGAAAATCCACAAGAGGGAGATGCTTGCTAAACCGCCAGAAAATAATTCCCTCGAGGAACCGGAGAGAGTAGCCTTAAGAGGAGACAGGGTCTGCCTTGGACTCAGAGCGGGAGGGAGCAGGTGCATATAATGGTGGGGGCCGTTGGAGAGTACGGCTGAAGGGAACAGCGGGATGGGTTTCGTGCTTCTGGCAGCGAAGCGTGCACTCGGTTTAAGATCGTTAGCAGAATAGTGTTGCCAAAGAAGAGGAGGAGGCTCTGGAGGTACCTCCTGGTAGTCCCAGAAGAAATAGGGATGGGTGTCTTTGAAAGCACTTCCGCTTAGCAACCCCACGCGGTTGCTAAGGAGGGGGCAGCAGCGGGGGAGACCCGGAAGTGGTGGTGTTAATTTCTCCTGGCCTGCTCTGGGTTTGTCCTATCAGGAGCGCCAGGGTGCCCCACGGGCTCCAGGCCGAGGGCGGGGCCAGTGCTAGTGGTTCCGGTTCGGCTCCTGTCGCTCCTCGGCTTTTCGCCTTCCCCCCTCCCCCGCCCCTCCGCCTCCTCTCCTCCCTCCCTCTCCTGGGAAAGAGAGAAGCCGCGGCTGCGGGTGGGTAGAGAAGCACTCGGCGCCTCCGGGAGGGGACCGCGCCCGCCCCATTTGAGCTTCGGAGCCCGGCCGGACCAGGTACCTGCTCCGGCTTCGACGGTTTCCAGGAGGCTGGAGTCTGAGGGGGTGTGTGTGTGTGTGTGTTTGTGAGGGGGCTGGTGGGGGGCCCTTTGGGTTGGGGCGGGGGACGCCGGGATCCCGGGTGGGGCGCAGGATGGTGTGTATGTCTGCGGAGAGTTGCGGAGGCGGAATGAAGGGACTGGCGAAGAGTTTCGAGTGACCGGGTAGAGTCAGGCGGAGGAGGCGCTCCTTCCGAGGCAGAAGACTTCGGCCGTGCGGACCCGGAGTTTGCCACCTGGAGGGCTCACTCTGAAAGAAGAAGCATCCTCCAAGACCAAAAGAATGGCATGGACATCGGCAGGGTGGCTGAGGCAATCCCTGCTTTCATTGCCCAGTCCCCCTACCCACTCCTCTGGGACAGAGCTGGGATTGGAGGTTGTGGGGGTTCTGATTCCGCTGAGCACCGCGGGGAGCCACCCTTGGCAGAGGCAGGGCAGAAGGGTGGGTAATGAGACCTCCCTCCACCCAACTTCCGTGCGCTTCCCCCACTTCTTCCTTTACTGCTCCTTCGCTTTAGCGTCCTATAGGAGCAGTGTCCCCCAAGTGGGCAGGCATCACCGAGAAAAAGAGGGTGGAACTGGGTTTGTTGCTCTTCAATGATACTTCACACGTTTGCAAAGAGACGGAATGGCATGTTCAACCAAGTCTTCCAGCCTGATATTAAATGTGGTATAAATTATCTTAGAAAAGTGAAAGTCTGAAATACCCCTACAGAAGGCATAGCCTTCTATAGCAGATGTACGTGTTTATCTAAAAAAAAAAAAAAAAAAAAGAGTGGGCAAACCGTGTAGAGGTCTAGGCAAGACGTGTTGAGGCAAGCCCTTTCGGACCTCTTTTTTAGCTGCGTGTAAACCTGCCCTAGGTTTGAAGCAGAAAGATCTTCATTTATGTTTTGATCATTGACGGAATTGTAGGTACTGTGTATTGAAAGATGTCTGAGTAGATATGTGAACGTTCAGAAACGATTCTCTGCTGTTGAGCCTGTCTCTTAATCTTTTAAGGAGATAATTGTGGTCAAGTGGAAGTATTGGCTTTGAAGTAGATAAATCTGGGATTGAACCCAAACTGTGCCACTTGCTAGTTGTTGACCTTGGGCAAGTCATGGAGCTTACCAGAGCTTCAGTTTCTTCC